TTAGGAATCTTGTGGGCAACCTCTGAGGGGTAATATTGGACATCATGAGCTTTGAGTTGGTGTTCATTATTGGGGATAGTGGATATGACAGGAGGGCAATTTTGTGGGAAGGTAATTAGAGAACGAGTGATGGAGCTACTAGGGTAGTTGGGAAAGTTGTGATAAGCGGGTAGATCTAGAGAGTATGGGGGATCATCTGGCACTATGACCGGAGTTTGGGTAAGGATAGCATCTAAGAAGCTATGTGGTGGCGGGGGTGGTGCCTTCCCAGTCATCCAAGCCCGATACATGTCCGTCATGTGTTGTCTTAACATCCTTACCTCTTCAACCAACCCATTTCCCTGTTCAACCAATTGCTTTTGGGCACCAGTATCAACCGACTCGATTCCGTTGTCGTCTGTCATTGCCTTTCGACCTTATGTTATAGAGAAGAGTTACCACTTTAAGAACCACAAACCAACTACCTTTCTGCTATGAAGATGTAGTCATCACGTTAGCGTTAGGGCATTTAACATAAAATAATCTCACTTTATGTGCAATACACCTAGCCACAGTTTTCGGTTCTAAAATGACTTCGAGGGTACGAAGGTCAGTTGGCATCATCCCAATTTGTTCATTTCAATCCTCTCTTTTCTTTGCTTTTCTAGCACTTGATTGCTCATTTTCCTTCCTCTTTTTTTCTAATTATCACTCTTTTCTTTCCTCTCATTTCTCATATCCCATAATTTCACCCTTTTTTTCTTTTCTTTTTTTCTTTTTCTTTTAATTAAAAAAATAATTCAATCGAACCCTATGTAGGTTGCCTACGTATCATGACGCCGCATGAATCAGATCTTTGCGTAGTTCGGGAAGATCGAAAATAAAGAAAACAAACTAACGTTCTCTTTTTCTTTTTTTATTTTCTTTTTTACCTTAATGACTACTCTGATGAGAAAAGAGAAATAAATGAAGCAAATCCTTTTTTTGGAATTTTTTAAACTTAATGTTCTATAACCTATTCTAAACTCAAGCTTAACGAGCATATATTTTTTTCCTTTTTTTTAAACAAATACTCTATGAGAAATTATTAAGGAAAAAACCCTAGAAGAGAAAAATATTTTTTGATTTTTTTTAGGAAGGAAATCTAAAGAATAAACCAAATAAAATATTTTGAATTTTCATTTGATATTCCTGAAGAAAGATTTTGAAATGAGAAATGAACAAGATGAAAAATATTTTTGGATTTCAGTTTTTGATTACCTAAGGAAGAAACTCAAGAGATAAACAAAAGATAAAGTATTTTTTTTGTCTTTGTACAATATCCTAAAGTTCTAGTGAAAATAAAAAGAATACTTTTTTATATATATATTTCCCAAAGAAGAACCTCAAAAGATTTTTTTTTTTTGAATTTTGGAATCAATATCTTAAAGAAAACTTTTAAAGAGGCACTAAAAGAAAATTCTTTTTTTTTTTGAATTTTTAGTCTTAATATACTAAAGGAAATATAAAAGCAATCTTTTTTTATTTTGAGTTCTAGATATTAATATCCTTAGGAAAACTACAAAAGATTTTTTTTTGAACTTCTAGAGTTATTATTCTAAAGAAAACATCTAACAGAAATATAAAAACGCAAAATCTCACTTTTTTGGATTTTTGATTTATAACACATTTTTTTCAGATACAAAATAAGAAATACAATAACAAAAGACTCGACATTATTGTACAAAACTAGAAGGTAAAAGACGACATAAAAGAAAAATAGACTCAACACATAAAAAAATCTCCTTAAGCAACTCCTGGATGAGCGATCCTAACTGGATGGTCTCGGGGTGTCTGTCATGCTCAAACTCCAGTAAATAGACCCACACCTGTATGAGAAAACTTTAACCAATATTATGTGAGACAATAACACTCCCTATTAGACACATGCAAGACATGATTGAGGCTATTTTTGCAAAACGGCTTATGTGGCCAAAAGGTGGCTAGAAGTGCAAAATTTGGCTAAGACCCCGCAAAGCGAAGAACCTAAGATTTACTAGAAAGACCGGAACCTATGTGGGTTGCCTACGTATCCCGCCCCGAGAGACGAAAATTAGGTTCGCGTAGTTCGGCAGATTGGATACGGGCAAGAATTAAAAAAATAGCTAATTTAGAGAAAATATGTTTTTTGTCTTTTTATTTTGAAAATGATTAACCATGTAAACTCTTTTTGGATTTTCTTTTCCCTTTTTTTGTTTTTTTGATTTTCGGAAAATGATGAAAAAATGCAAAATCTTCTTCTTTTTTTGAATTTTTCATGTTTTTTTTCTTAACAAAAATGTGAAAGAAAACATAACTGGGCCCTACTTTCTTTATTTTCACACTTCACCATCTTTTTCTTTTTTTTTTCATTTGCACTCAACTATCATTGGTCCGCCAAATGACCCTTTTACCCTTGAAGATTGCAACATGTAGCACATAAGATGCATTAGAATGATCTTTTATTTTTTGGGTACACCTATCCTAGACAGACCCAACCCATGTGTTGAGTCCCCTAAGTCAAATGCACGTGATGCAAACAAATATTCCTACTAGGGATCCGACATCAGGCTGTGCTTTTCTAGGTTTAAATCCTGGGGTTGTGTTCTAGACCTGGCTTACCCGAGCGGACAACTCGAGCCGAAGAGAGGGTAACGTACCGGGAGCACTGAAGTCTACCCGGCCTTGTTGCTGGCCCAGCTCCGTTCTTATTTGGTATAACTTCTACAGAAAAACGGGATACACGAACATGTGCACCATTTTCAGAAGACTCAGAGGGGTGGCGTAAGAAGGCAGTTATATACAATTCAAACAATATTAAAGCGGTAAACAAATAGCATTTAGCACAAAGGTTCACAAAATACAGTAATATTAACAATAAATGAAGCCAAGTAAAAATCATAAAAACAAGCTCGAATTCTTGAACCCTGAACCAGAGATTCTGGGTTCGGTCCCCAGCAGAGTCGCCAGAGCTGTCACACCTCCTTTTTACTACTCCCGATAGGGATATAAGGGAGTTTTTTCCAATTTAAGTGACACTCGATATGGGATTATTTATTAAATTCAGAGTTGTCACTTGGGATAATTTATGGTGCCCCAAGTCGCCAGTTTAAAATCCCGAATCGAGGAAATTGACTCTTATTTACGGTCTGCGAACACAGAAATCCGGGTAAGGAATTCTATTAACTCGGGAGAAGGTGTTAGGCATTCCCAAGTTCCGTGGTTCTACCACGATCGCTTTGATCATACTTGGCTTAATCAAATTATCTAATTACTCATTTTTAGAACTTATGTGCTTTCATCTCTTTTAGTTAAGAAAGTATCTTAAAACAGGTCACGCGCACGTGTACCCATTTGTTTGGCGCGTCAAAAATCATGTCACGCGAATGTGTCCACAATTAGTTACGCTTTATTATTATTATTATTAAGAAAGTTTGGCCAAAGTTGCGCGAATGCATACTCCGGTTTTATTTTTGGAATCGTAATTATGTCACGCGAACGTGTACACAACCACGATGGTATATTAGACGTGCCTAAAGCAAACTACAATGCTCAAACATTGCTTAATTTTCCTATGTTTGGAATCAAGCGTGAGAGCCAAAAGTTCCATTCCAAGTACTAAAGGTTTTATAAATTTGGACTTGTTCTGCTACTAAACTCAAATTAAGCAAAATTTTGCATTGTGAAATTAGCCACATACATGTGAAGAATAAACAATAGTGCCTTTCACCAAATAGGTTATATGCACATTCATCCTTCTGTATGTGACTGCTACAGCAATATCAGCTTGGGCTCTGCTCATTTTGGATATAAATACATAGTGAATTGGTCACAAGAAGTGGAAAGAATTGATCCCTTATCTTCTAAAACAACTATAGGAAGGTGACGAAAATGTTACTGATGCTAGCGTTGACGCTTTTTCTTTAATTTTTGAAAAGGGTAATCATTAGAAATTCTCAAATAAAACACAAGAATATTCAAGCACATAACACCAATTTGCAAACTACATGTTTAACAAATAAAACCCCTTGACAAAGTATTAAAATAAACACATATATGCAGATTTCATAGCAATATAATATCCAGCAGTAATCCTTTAAACTGTAAACATACCTCAGACACCAGCAAAACAAGTACGAATTGGACCAAATAAAGGTGAAGAAGAACTGGTAAGCTTAGCTACGCGGAATCAGCAAAACTAGTGACAACATAGCAATTCCATGGCTCAAAACAACCTAGCTCAAGAAGTTTTCAAATGTCGAAATATTCCATCAACTACAACAGATGGAATTGTGCAGCTAACAACGATCGAATTCGAACAAAATCAACAGACCGTACCTCAAACGGAACCTCAGATTTGCAAACAGACAGCTCGTCCACTGGACTCGAATCTGTGGTGGCGTTTTGGGCGCTGTTTCAGCAGATTTTAGCTGCGAACGGGAGTTGTTTCGGACAGGGCTTCAGCTGCGTTTTAGAGCTGATTCGGGATTGTTTAGGGCTGATTTCGCGTGCAAAAAATGTGAGGTTTTGGAGCTGGAATGAGGGTGTTTTGAGGTGAGAAACGGGGTTGTTCCACTACTGATTTTGGACTGATTTTCGCTGATCTCTCTTTGTGTGTGTGTTGTCGACATGTGATTTTTTACCCTCCTCAAGATTTTTCATATTTTAGCATGTAGATATTTAATTTAGGCCCAATATAACTATTTTAATTAATTTTGAGTCTTTTACTTTATTTTACTGCAAGAAAACGAAAATTACAAAAAAAAAAAATCATTAATGTTTTGTAGTTATTTTTAATCTTGAAAATACTAAAAATAATGTTGTTTTAATGGTCAGTCTTATTTTAATAGTTATTTTATTTAAGTAGGACTAATTAATAAATGAGATCGTATTTTAATCTCGTTCGCGTGGAAAAAATAAAACTTTGCTTGAGCAACCCATTTTTAGGCTTAATTTTGGACCTAGCCCATAATTCCCAAGCTCATACCCCTAACATAATCCCTACCCCTATATAATAGTACCTAATCCCTAAACACCCCTAGACCCCAAAAAGATTGGATCCGCTATTTTTTCATATGAGAAGAGACAAAGAGAATTCTCCAGCAGCTGCTTCTTCAATCGGCCATTTTCTTTCATTTGAAAAGAGATCAGCCAAAATTCTCAAGACCAAAAAAAAGTTGACCTAAAAGGAACGGAAAAGCTGGCAGCGCTGTTCTTGATGAGAATTAAAAGCGCTGCAATACACAAAAACCCGACCCCTCTTGGCGTCGTCCTCTCCACGTCGACTGAAGCAGTGCCATTGACGACCAAAAAACGATGTCACTCTTTCACCTCCATTAATCTGCATCCCGACAGTGAAAGCGAGGTTCGGCGAAGTTGTCATGTTCCGTTCGAGGCTTTCGATTGTTGGTCCGGTCAGCAGTAGCTCAGTCCATTTTTGTGAAGGTTTGTTTTGAGATCTATTTCTTTCAATTTTGTTTTTGTTTGTTTTATTACTATGTATATGAATACATACCTTTTTTTTGCTTTTATTGTGAAGTTTATAAAAATGAAGTACATTCTCTTACTGCTTGTTTTGCTTTCATTTAGTTATCGAGCTTCATTATTGGTTTAGCTAATAAATTGTCTACTCATGTGATTGCACGGTTTTATCTTTAAAAAATATCATATTACATATTAGTTTTTATGCTTGGTGAATTGGCCGTAAAAGATGTGTGTTCCTTTTTGTTTGTCACAACTTAGATTCTTATACTACAGTGAGCGAATGTGATGAGTAAAATCTTTTTGGCTTATATGTGATTTTAAACAAATGATAGAGATAAAAAAGTTATGCAGCTATAGTTACACAAAGCTTTAAGAATGTATAAACTTATTGCTGCATTACTATTGTTTCTTTGTTGACCCGTGATAATTTCAATGGATGAATCATGTTTACTAGTACTTTTTTGTTTATTGTGATTTACCTTACCGTGATTGAGAAATGAAGCCATTGATTCTTATTTACCACATTTGAGACTGAGCTGTGTGTGAAACATATGAACCTCGCAATTTGCTTTAGGCGCGTTGAATATATAATTCTCATGGCTATTGAAATCCGGGGGTGCATTTCATGTGACCAAGTTCTAATTTTCAACAAGTTTAAATAGAACGTGTCGTGAACCACGGGTACATTTCATGTAGCGTGACTTACGATGTGTTTTAAATAACCTTAAATTTTCCCGAAATATTAAAGGCGGCTAAAAAGTGTAAATGCACATAGGTCTAAACATGTATTAAAATCAGATAATAGGCCAATTATAATAGTTTGAGCGACCGTACTAGAACCACGGAACCCGGGAATGCCTAACACCTTCTCCCGGGTTAATAGAATTTCTTACCCGAATTTCTGTGTTCGCGGACAATAGAACAGAGTCAATCTTTCCTCCATTTGGGATTCGAACCGGTGACTTTGGACATCATAAACTATCCCAAGTGGCGACTCTGAATTTAAAATAAATAATCCTATTTCAATTGTCACTTTAAGTTGGAAAAAACTCCTTTATACCCCTTAGCGGGGTGGTAAAAAAGAGGTGTGACATATGTCTTTGCATTTCTGTGTGTGTGTGGCTGTGTCGAGTTCTTGGCGTGAAGGCTGTTGAAGGGGCTTGCTGGTGTTATGTGTTGAGTGGAGATGGCAATAGGGGTTTGGTCTCTAGGGTTAAGTCTGGTTGTGAAGAAGATAAGATGAGGGGTCGTTTTGGAGCGGTGCGGCTGGGAGCTTCAATGGAGTCTAGGGTTTTTTCTTTGGTTTTTTTCATGAAGAAGAAGATGAAGTTTGGTTGTGGAGGGGGGTGTCTTGTGATAGAAACGGTTGATGATCCTTAGGGGTCTAGGGATTAGGTATTTTTAGGCTAATTTTTTATTATATAGAAAGGGTTTTTAGTTTAAAGGGTATGGGTTTGGTATTATTGGGCCTTAAAATTGGGCCAAAGACTAAAAAAATGGACTACAAGATTAAAATAGGATAAACTAACCCAAAACTAACTCTTCCTTCTAAATATATAATTTATAATATAAAAATATAAAATTAATCTTAATTAATTGAACTAAACTATATTAAAATATGAAACTATTTTTGTGTTTTCAAGATTATATAAAAATAAAAATAAGGCACTATTTTTTATATATTTTTTATTTAAATTTATGAAAGATACGTAAACTAAAATATTTTTGTAATTTTTATTTTTTGTGACGAAATAAAGTAAAAGAGCCAAAATTAGTTGAAATAAAGATATTAGGCCTAAACTAAGTATTTAAATGCTAAAATAAGTAAAATCTTGGGGAGGGTCAAAAATCACATATCTACAGTATCCCTCTCAGAGGTTATCTCTCTCATGCACCGTTTGAGTTCGAGGATTTCGGATTCTCTGGCTCGGAGCTCCTCTCTCAGAAAGGAACCTTCCTTCTCAAATTGCACGAATCAGATCCAAGATGTTAAAACACTGAGATCTGGCAATCATTCAGACAATAACAAACGGAAACTAGGTAACCTGTTCAACAAGATGAGCCTTCTCATGCTCATGACGGGTCACCTCAACCTAAAACTGGGCGAAAGTTTGATTATAAAGCGCCCTGGCCTGAAGCCATAAAAAAAGACAAGTTATAAAGACAAAGATCAGAACGACAGGCAGGATTTACAAAAACTACCTGCTCACAAAGCCTGCTCATCTCGCCGAAGACGAGTGAAGCATCGAGCTCGGGAATCCCCTCCGGAGGCTGAAGGCCTTTTAAGCGCATCTATGTCTCTGATAGGCACCCCCACATCGGAAGGTTCTTCATTTGGGGCATCTTGCATTCCTTTAGGAGGTAAGGTCATTCCTTGAGGGGAATCACTCACGACAACGGCACCAACAGGGTCGATCAGGGCCATCTCTTGTCCATGCAGGGCTCCAAAACTGGGCTCCTCCGAACCACCTACGAATGTGTCCCAGCTCGAGGAGTATTTTGGCTATTGGTCGGCTCGGGTACCTCACTCGATACTCTCTCAGTGGTCTCTACATTTCGAAGCTGGACCACGACGACATCAAGCTCCAGCTCGGGAGCCACCATCTCTACGTCCTGAGGGTCGATCAGGTTTTTCCCTCCCTCGGACGCTATCAAAAAATTATTTTCCCCCTCGCCTTCAACTCGGGGACTTCCCGCTGCTTCCGGAGTTAGGGCTGTTGGGTTGTCTTTAGTTTCTTCCACCTTGATCTTCTTGGATTCTAAAAGTTCATTCGACGGTTCCCTTTGTCTTTTCTTCCCTTCGTCAGGTCCCAAAGTACCCTCTTCACCAAGAGACGTTCCCTTTATCAGGGGGACCTCCCCCAGACCTATACAAAGGCAAGAGGTAAGCATAGGAAGTGAGAGAGCTATTAGTAGCGATTCATATTAGAATGTACGACTGCAACAAGGGTGAAGGCTCACCATGGTCTTTAGCTTCCCATCAAGATTGGGACAGATCACGCCACACTCGCTCAGCATATGGGCAAATCGAGTCCAGCTGGCTGACCTAGCCTGAGAGGTCCGTGACCGTGTCAGGTTAAATTGCTACGACTGCATTAGCAGAAGAAATTAAGTGCGTGGAAAAATGTACCTAAAAAGAAGCAAGGAAATGATATATAATGTATCTAATTACATTCCATGTTCCACCTCTCAAGGAATGGCATCCTTTCCACCGAAATAAGTCTGAAGTCCTAACTCGGACAAAGCGACTCATCCACCCTCCGTTCCCCACTTCTTTGATGCAAGCAAAAAAGGCCCTCGAATTTCGGCAGTGGAGCTTAATCAGACCCCCATGGAAGAGATGGGGGTTATACATCCTGATCAGGTGATCGAGGGTGAAGGGCATCCCTTCAGTCATATTCACATAGTACTGGATCACGCAGATAATGCGCTAGAACGAAGGGTGAATTTGGCCAAGGGTCACTTGATACTATTGGCAGAAGTCAAGAATCACAAGATCAATTGGAGGCAAGGAAGGACCCACCGGCCCAAGGGTAAATGGGTAAGTATAAACACTGAGAAAATCGACTTTGTATGTTGTTATATCCTCCTCCCGAGTAGGGATCTCCACAAGAACTGCGTCCTCCCAGTGGTAATTAGTCCTCATCCTTTCGACTTCTGTTATTGAGCTAATATACTGAGACACAGGCTCACGACGCCCCAGCATCGAAGAAGGTCTCTCGACCTTGAAATCGGAAGCTGTTGCAAAAAATCCTAGAACGCATTCCTCAGCACGAGGAGGCATTGCCGCTTTGCCTTAATATGGAAGCAAAGAGGAAGAGGTCATGTTCTCCTAAGCGAAGTGGAAGTTGTCCCCTTTCCTAAAAGATTTCAGAAGAGACAGAGAAGTTGCGCTTCGAAGAAATAACAAAAGTAAAGGTAGTAGGAACCTTTTTTGGGGCTTGGTGGTGCAGTGAGTTGTAAAGAACGAGAAGAGAAGTATTTATAGAGGCCCCACACACATATTGAAGGAGGCCAAAGGACAACCAACCGCCATAATCAACGCGAAGGCTTTTAAGGGGTGTATGTACGCCGTCTTTTGGCACCTTATGACTGTCGTCGTTACGGAAGTACCAGAGGGGCAGGAATTCAAGGTCGTTTCTTATCACTTTCACTCTAAGAAACACGGGGACTATCTGTATACGATAAAATCAGAGGGTCCAATTTTCCGTTGTTGCGGTGCCTCGTAAGCATATTTCGTAGGTTTGAGACTAGGGTCGAGGTTCACCCTCGAGGGATATCGACGCTCGACCTCAAGACGATGCAGACCAATGGCTATAAAGGAAAAGTGGGGAGTTCACAAGGCGCATAACTAGAGCTGATACAGTCTAGTGAGCTAAATTCAGACCCGAATCAAGATATCAACTAGTTGTCTCATCTCTATATCTTTGTAATAAATGTATTTGTACTATGTTGGGATTTTCCCTCATATATAAAGTGGATCCTTGTTATTTTGTAGTAACATGATGCTCAATACTGAAAACTCAAGAACATTCTCTCTGTTCTCTAACATATTCTCTTGATCTCATTGCTTCATTTATTACTTATATTCATTGTGTGCTATTTATTATTCTTCATTTATTACTTATTACTGGCCATAAAGAGTTGTCATTGATTTATTTATAATTGTTAGTCTCCATCGACTACCCTTGGCGGGGCATTAGACTCGACCCCGAGGCCCCGAATAAGCAAACTCGAGGCCCCATCCACAGACACTCGGTTTGGTTAACATCTTGTTTTTCAGCTCTTATATCCTTTCTAAGTCTTTAAGATAGCATCAACTACCTAACAACTAGCATAAAAATAGATCACATATTTTTAGAACCACAAAATTAAATTTAATTGTTAGTACCATTTTCGCGGTAAACACATCATGACAGGGCGGAGACCAATGTTTTTAGGTCATTTTTGATGGTTAGAAA